AATCTGAACAATATTTACATTTAATCCAGGTAAGGAATCTTACAAAATGGCACAAAATGAAAATTTTAAACATTGATTTGTCTAAAATAATAGCGCCTTGAAAAATAAAATAGCAAATTAACTATGACGTTATATTTTCGAACGCCTGGTGTCATACTATAAAAAAAATTATGCAGGCATTTTAAGATATTTTTTTGTCTTGTATTTCAGCTTCAAAATGAAATAGAGCGCGAGAAAGAAGAAGAACTCGAGAGGGAGAGAGAAGATTGGCACAGACGCAGTCATTTGCTGCCGCTGGCGTTTGCGATCACGGACGAGTTTTTCGACAAGTACTGGCCGCCGCCGACGCCCGAAGTCGTCTCCATACCAGAACCCGAGCCTAAAGCTAAAGGAAAGAAGAAATAGATCTACATTTCTCTAAGCAAACTTGAAAAAGAAAGTATTGATCTGATCGATCAATTTTTATGTAGCAAAAAAATTAATTTTCAACAAACAATATATTATTCCGTAATTTCATAAAATAAATGAATTTTGGGTGATGGGTTACTCTTAGATTTATAGTAGAACCTCGATAAGTTTAAGTCCAAGGGAAACACAAAATATTTTAAGTTATAGAGGTTTGTAGTTATCAAGGGTTTTTGTTTTTAAGGTTTTGGGCTCTGATGGGAAGGAAACATTATTTTTTTAAGTTACCGAGGTTTTACCGTATTTTGTTTGATGCGGAAAAACTACTATTTGTTCGCACTTTTCAAAATTAAAAACTATCCAGTTTGTTTTAAAGTCGTTTTCTCTTAATTTTTTGTTTCAAACATGTCAACTGTTAAGGTGATTTTGTAAACAATGCCATCTCACGGTGGTTTCATGAACTAATGCAAAAGTCCATTTAACTCGCTAGATGGCGCAAGTTGGATTTATTGTGAAGTTAGCTGAATGTTTTTATTTGAACACGTAATAGGAATAAAGACACAACAGTTGATTACATTAATTTATTCGTATTTATAGTTTACTGGAATTATAGAATTATTATAAAATACTACATCGAACACTAAATATGACACATATTTATTTTCTTTAGATTTTGTTTGGGAAATTAAGAAAAAAATGTTTCTTAACTTCATAAATTACGAAAGTTTAATCACAATAAATTAATTTTGATATATTATAACTTACTTAAATATATTAAAAATGCATTATGTTTTGATTATTATTCTTTTTATGTCTTTTAACTTTAAATCAATTTTGTCAACATTTGGGAATGGTTTTTGATAATTTTAAAGACAAACAATACTGGCCACAAATTTCTAAATCTTTTACTACTTTGAATTAAAAATAGCAAAATAAAAAGATACATTGAGCATATTTACTTAAAGTCTAATTTACTTTTAAAATGACTTAGTTGTAAGCACATACTGATATTACCATATTTGGGCAGTGGTAAGAAACATTTTAATTATACTCTGAGTAGTTAATAGTGAGGCCATCCTGTGGTACTCGAAATAAATCTATTTTTAGGGTTGTTTAAGCTGATTTTAGAGTTTTTTTTTTAAATTAAAAGTGTAATTTAAAAAATGAATATAAAAATATTGACCAATGGCAATCAGCACCATAGATTTTTTCACAGACAAAAAAAATCTAATTTTTTTATAGCAAATACTAATTTTGAGCGGAAACATTAATGGAAATAAACTACTAATTTACATGATTAACTGCAGCAAAGTCATAACTGTAGTTTAACACTAAGTGATGACTCTGAGTGCAGTATACACATTGATTAAATTCCTTACAACTAACACAATATTTGGTTCTATTTTGAGTTATACACCTAGCTTTTAATTAATGTTTAAGAAATATCTGCAAAAATATGTTTAGTACTTAAGTAGTGAATTTACTACATATCTATCTATAAAGCACTTATCCCTAATAATATAAACGGGTAGACAGGGATATAGATTTCGATTTTGCGTGGTCCTAACAACTCTTACATTATTTACATATTTCTTATACTAAATACAAATTCAATAGAAATGAGGAATAATCAAGGGCGGATCCAGCTTTGGCGCCAGGGTAGGGGTCACAAAGTTGTGGTCAAGTCAAGAGCTTGACAATGTAAATATATTTTGTCAAGCTCTTGACCTTGGAGGGGGGGGGGGTCACGACCCCCCCTAGATCCACCCTTGGAAATATACCAATCTAAACAATTTTTACTGTAATCATACACTGTAATCATAGATTTAGAAAACAGACATATTTGTATCAACAAATCAAATACAGAGAATTTATAAAACAAATCCATAGATAATAAAAGATATTGTCAACCAGTGACATGTAAATTGTCATTTTTATTGAATTCAAGCATAAATACTAAGAGACTGTCCCACCATTGGCTGATAGAGGCTCAGCTTAAAAATGACGTCACTGTCATGGCAACAAAAACCAATACTTGCATCACATATGTTACGCTGATTGTTCTGAGACAATTTACAATTTGGTGGGACAGGCCCTAAATCTAGTAACAGTACAGTCTTAAAGTTATTATAATATCATTTTTTATACACACTACATAATCAAAACACAGATGGATGTGTGGTTTGACAAGAATGGATAAAGTTAAGAATGTGTACATTAGAGGAAGTTTGAAAGTAGCGCCAGTGGTGGAGAAATTGAGAAGCAAAAGATTAGCGTGGTATGGACATATGCGACGAGACTATGGGAACATGAATCAGAAAGTGTTAAGAATGAAGGATATGCTTAAGGAGGGAGTAGATTCATATATGACGGCTGATAGAGATGTATGGAAGAGCAGCATATACTGTGCCGACCCCCCATAAGGAATAAGGGCAAGTTGATGAGGACATAATCAAAACATTAATGCTATGTTAGTAAAGAATCAAAATGATACACTGAATCTGGAAAGTTAAGGAAATGCCAAAAATTAACTTAACATAAACTTCAAGATATGAAAATTATCCAAGATGTAAATCTACAATTAACACCATGAAATTATAATCAAGATAAAATAGATTCTTAATTAGTGTAATACAATAATACTAAAAACTGCATTTTACCTAATTACATTTTACTAGTACTTTATTGATATAAATCAATATACAATTCTTATTTTAATTTCATTTCTTTTCTATTTTTTGAAATTTCCATCTTATAATAAAAAAAAAACTATAGTTAAACATATATATTGCACTGTATGTATGTAAGTTTAAACTGTAATGACATTAATTGACAAATATTTGACCAATGGCATTCATTACCAGCTATTGGTCCCCACCGAGGGGCTCGGAGCCTACCCTAAGTTAGGGGTGACTAGGTCATAGTCAACGCTGCATTGTGGGTTGGTTGACTTCACAAATCTTTGAATTTCTTCGCCGATATGAGCAGGCATCACGATGTTTTCCTTCACCGTAAGAACGTCGGGTAAATTATGTACATATTAAAAATCGAAAATCACATTGGTACAGCGGGATTCTAACCCAAGACCTGTAGATTAGACAAGTCAAGTGCTTAAACCACAGAGGCAATGGCATTCAAACTAAATTGACAGTTGGCTGTCAATGTCAAAATGTCTAAAGTCACTTGTTTATATTTATATGGATTTTGTCACTGCAGTCGAAACCCATAGTTCAAATAGAAATTTAACTATGAAAGGTAATTGAACATTACAATAAAAGATTTGTTATATTTTGCTGCGGATTTGCATTGGGGATAGATTTTTAAAAACATTTTTTGTTTTTGAAAAAAGAATAAAGTTTTAGTTTTAATAATCAAACCATTGTAATATAAAGAAAATTAATTAATCTTGCAAAATAACTGGGTATGAATAATTAAAAATAAATGAGAATACATCAAGAAGTATGAGTATTGTAGAATATGTTAAATCTATTTTTTCACTGAATCATGGCAACATTCTAATAGCAATAAATACATTTTTTGTACCTATAAATATCAATTCTCTAATTAAAAACTTAATTAGACTAGAAAACTTACCAAATCTAAAAAAGTAGCACATAAAATTCTAAATATACACTTTTAAGTATGGAATACACAAATCTTGACAACTGTCAAAATATATTGACAGTCACAAGTAAAAATACCCTAAAAGAGTGTGCACACCTTTGACTAAACTATCGCACAACTGTTTAGTCTTGCTTTGATTTCTATAAGCTTGTATGGAAGTGCGCACACTACTCGATAAGTTGAGCAAATAAACAGTTGAATTAACCTAAAAACAATCTACAAGTACGCAACCGTTGTGCGATACTTTAGTCAAAGGTCTGCTACTCTAACAATATGGCTTACTGATCACTTACCTATAAAACACTAGCAGAGACTAAAAATCTGACAGCTGTCATGACAATGAAAACTGTCAAATTCTCTAGGCTTCGCTGATCACTGTCACTTGTCTGGCTCACTGTACACTAACACTTGTCTGTGTCATTGTTCATTGACACTTGTTTTGCTCAGCATACACAACACCTGTGTGTGACAACACCTGTGCTGCAGTTTAGATTGACACTTGTTTATGGCTAAATATACACTGACACTTGTTTACGGTTAAATATACACTAACACTTGTCTATGGCTCACTCGTCATTGATAGTATAGTCCAGTGTCCGATGACACTTGTCTGTCTCAGTGCAGACGAGTGTTGCCCTACAGATGCAGGGCCGCGGTGCCCGCAGGCGGGCGAGGCTACAGCAAGGCTCGCCTCGACTCGTCGCGGTACGCCCCCGCGTAACCCCTATTTCATGTTTGCCATCTGAAAACATAAAGATATATAGTTAATTCAAACGTCTCTCTCATCTTACTAATACATATGCGAATGTTTCAATGGATAGATGTTTGTAGCCTACACTGCTGCACAGATCTCTATGAAATTCGGCATAGATGTAGAGAATAGTCTAGAAGGACACATAAGCTACTTATTGTTTTTATTCCATGTCATCGAAGTCGCGGGCAAAAGCTAGTAATGACATATTTTCTAAAATAAAATTAAGAATTTCAACATATGAAACCTGTTTTTGTGCTACTGGTGCTCTTAACAGATCTTATCGCCTCTCTATCCAGTATTAAGGGCGGTCCACAAACCGCGTCATAACGCTGGCAGTATTACGAAAATGTCTGCCCTATGTAATAGATGGCGTTACAATAAAAGTACAAAATATCTACTTCCATCAATAGATGGCGTTGTAACAAAAAAAATGTATATTTTCAATAGATATCGCTGTAGTTACCTGGCTTTTTGCAACTCAATCTGCCCCTCGAGCGTTTTGGCAAGGTAGATGACGAACAGCTGCGAGAGAGCAACACCGAGAGCAGCACACGCTATCATATACAGATTGCGTTCAGCCCATAGACGTACTATCTCGATACAACCGCTTGTCCATACACGCTTGCTAGCTTCCGCAACCTGCAACACATATATCTTAGTAATAATGCGAAAGTTTAGATGGATGGATGTTTGTTACAGTTTGTAGGCTCTAAACGGTTCTGGATGAAATTCGGCTTAGTTGTAGAGGATAGTCTTGAAGAAGACATAGGCTACTTACTTTACATTTATAGTTATGTCTATATTATATATTTATTTATTTAATTGAGAGTTTTACGTAAACAATAAAATACAGTTATCATTAAAGCCCACACGGGAATAGCTAGTAATAAGAAAATTAAAATGGGTATTTACCCATTTTAATTTTAATATGAATGGATGGTAACCTAAATTATCTCCGGATCAACAGATTTTAATGAAATTTGGCATAGACAGAGACTTTTGGTAGCAATTTGCCAATTTTTTTAAATCCACAATTAATATTACAAGTAGAGTTAAGTAACAAGTTACCGGTGAGTTCTGGACGCCATATCCACACATGATGTTGACGAGTCCTGAGGAGATGTCTGTGGCGTTAATGCAGCATGAGAAGGGAACTCCACAACGTTCTACTGAGGGTGAGGAGCAGTTGAAGTATTCATTCTTGGACCAGTCCATGTAACCATCAGAGGTCAATCCACAGCACTGGAACTGAAGGTGTTGTTATTGAATAGAGGCACTTCAGTTCTGCATTTTTTTATATATTTTAATATTTACTATATCGCAGTGTTTTTGAGCTGATTAAATGCTTATTATCTTACTGAATAAATATGACCTATGTTACTCACTGATAACGTAGCTTTTTAATGGTGAAAGAATTGAAATTGACCCAGTAGTTTTTGAGTTTGATAAATACAAAAATACAAATCTTTCTTCTTTATATTAGTACAGACGATTAAGCCCGCGTGAAATTAAAAATAAAATATAGCCTACGTTACTCACTGTTACCATAGCTTTATAATGGTGAAAGAATTGAAATTGAGCCAGTAGTTTTTGAGTTCAATACATACAAAAATACAAATATTTTCTCTTTATATTA